TTCTATCTTTTCTGTTCTGTCAGCCATCTTCTTCATCTCCTTTTCCCATTTCTCATCCTTTTTCTTTAATTTTTCTCCGATTAAATTGACGTCCTGATTTGCCCTTTTTGTTTACTTTCCTACATCTTCCATCTTCTTTTACCTCTCCTCCATTTCTCTTTCTATTGTCCTGATTTCTTCTAATAATACTAACCACTCTTTCGCATTAATTTTTTTTTCTTGCTCTTTCTCAACCCCCTGATTTTGTTCCTTCCCTTCTTTTTCCCCTACCTGATTAATCTCTCCCCTCTCCTCACGTTCCTCTTGATTCCCCTCCCCTAGGTTTGCGAGATCCCCTCCTGTCTTCTCTAATCCCTCTCCTTGCTTTCCTATTCTTACCCGTTAGTGAACTTAGCAATTTTGTACTTTTCTTGAAGGATTTTGAGTTTCCTTCGCTATGTGTTCTTAATCCCCCTGTTTCTCCTCAGAGTATTTTTTTCTGTCGGTCTGCCTCTTCATCTTTTTCCTGTCTCTGCTAATTTATTTGTCTGCTTAGGCGTTGAGGATTCTGATTGTATGTCCAACTCGCTTCCCTCACCTTCCTACAGTTTCGAATTTCCCTCCTTATCCTCCGTCAGTACTCTACCTTTATTCTCCATTTTCCGTCACTAGATGCAGCCACCTATGCTCACCACTATTACCCTAATCCTTTTCAATTTTTACCAAATAACTTCTTTTCTCTTTAAATTAGTCCCCCTTTTTCTTCCCCACTAACTTATCTCCTAACTAATGTCTTTTTATTCCCTACCCCGCTCACAATCTCCCCTTCCTTTAATTCATCAACTTTCTATTCTTAACCTCACTTTCCTAATTCATATATTAACCCCTTTAATTTTTATTTTTCAGCTACACTTTTTATTTCAAATCACTCCCCTTACTTTTCTACCTGTTTTACCCCCTTCGATTTCTCTCTTTTTCACTTTTTCTCTCTAAAACACACTTTTCATGCAATCCATGCACCTTTGCGTCTAATTACGTCCAACACACACATGCAACTTTCGAGTACACGGTATATAACTCATTCTCCAATTTAAAAAAGTTGCCCAGTATTTAAAATATTGCATAATGAGAATTTGAATTTCTTTATGTATTTTGACAAGGGAGTGAACAAGCATTTAATAGCATTTGCAGATATCCATTACTTCCTGTTTGAAAGTTCCACGTTTCAACGCAAACCTATTTTCTCTGATGGATTTACATTCAATATATTTTTATTTTCAGCTTTTGTCAATGAAAATGTTAGCATATGACTTTTAAGGTAAATGAGTTCTCTAGAGAGGATCTTTTACTCGTGTGACGACTGTATCAATGATCTGCGATAGATATAAAAATGATGATAAGAAGGAAGATCTCAAATTGATCAATGTAAGATTTCTGAAAAGCTCCGCCATCTCCTGCTGATCTGTTGGAGATCTTGGATTGATCTTAGTAGATAAATATCACATTCAAGCATTCAAATTAATCTTTCGTTAATCTCTTGTAGATGCGCTTTTTATCAAGCCTAGGCGCCAGAATATCGTGATACATATGGTCAGTCTTATGATATTGATATTAACCGTAATCGTAAATTTAGAACAATAACTAATTATAATTTTACAAAATTATTTTTTTACTTGGTTAATTGTTATGTCCCTGAGTAGGATACCTCAACATTGCCCATATGTTAATGTTACTATATGTATGCTGGGTATATATTGTTACGTAGTGAATTGCATCTGTCAAGTCCTCGGCGAAAATCCGGAGTATAATGTGAATCTTAAAGGACTAGTCTAGGCAGGATCCATCCATCTCAAGGGCCAATTTTGATTTTAATTTTCTTTTTTTGACTGCTTTGGTTATTTTATTTATTTCCTTGCCGGGCGATTTTTATATTTCGCGCCTACGTACGCGAATAGGCTAGTTATAACTCACCCACGACACCATCTTATGCATAAGACACATATTATTATTCAAAATCAGGTGGGTGATGCCATATTCGGGACAAATCCGGGAAGAGTCGCGATAAGATAGAGATCGGTTTTCTATCTGTGGGACATGGTACGAGCAAAAAGAGAATTAATTTTGTCTGGAGGATTGAAAAAGTTACTAGTACGCTGAATCTAACTTGAGTAGTTCAAAAATAGTGTGTAACGCGAGTGGAGTTGATAATCCCTGATCAAGGGATTTGGATAATAGGGAAAGTGAGGCTTGTTGGAAATTTCTCGAAGAAGATCCTGAGGGTGGCTGACAAACAGGCTCTATGAGTAACCGCGGATTTCTGGGAAGGCATTCTCCACAACTCTGTAAGTTCACGCGAGGTTTTTCGGTAAGCGAGCATTAAAATTCCGCCGCCCGGCAAGGGACTTGTTACATATTGTGGGAGGTGTTTCGTTATAATTTGCTTCTTTCGGGTTTCGCTCCGCCTTAGTTTGATCGCGAAAACTTGCCAATTATACGAGTTTGGTTGGGAAGACGTATGCAGGAAGCTCGAAGTCCTTGATGTTAGTGTGACCGTAATCGCAAGCGTGGTGATTATATTGTTCTATTATAATGTTTCTATTGTTCCTTATACTTTATATTGTGCCATGCTAAGCCGCGTATTTAATTGATTGTGAATTAGTTGAGTTATTAAAACTATATTCACTTAACTTAGTCTGTGTTCATTCACCCATTGTAATCTAGTTAACTTGCTCTGTATTATAATTTATTTAATTTGCCTTTGGAATCACATTCTTTCGTTAACCGCGCTAAAAGCGGATTACCGTTTTTATATGCTAAAAATCAAACATTTGTTTCTTTTGTAAATGCAAGATCGCGTATAATATTCGAGCAATAAATCGAATCATGTTGAATTTCTAATAGAACGTTTTACTGTGAAAATCCCCGCCGCCTTCGCAAGATGGGTTAGTCAGCGTGTAAGTCGGTATAGTTCAGATTTGTTATCAGAACGAATGGGTTTGCGAAGAACGGAGCACCCAACATTAATCGAAAGGATTAGCCCCAGAGTTGCTGAACACGAGGACCTTGTACTCCTGAATGGTACCTCGCATCCCGTAGATAATCGCAAAAAGATAGTCACAATTTGTTGGAGCCGAACGTGGAGCTTTTGGGTAGTCGTACAGAAGAAAGCAACGCAGGTTTGTCGGTACCCTCGTCGTGCCTCGATTCCTTGATGGAATGGCGATGAAGAGATGGCTGGATTAATAATATAGCGGACTGCACGATGCGTCTGGTGATTGCAGAGCCATTGATCTGAATGAGCCTAATCTGTCGTGAGGCACGTAATTAAATGCTGTATACTTTCAAAACTATGGTAATTACTAATTACCATATCTTATATGGAATATGAAAAAGGATCTATTAGCGATCCGTCCTGAATCTAACAACTTTTACTGTGGGCATTCAGTGATAATGTTAATAATAAATGTACTGCTTATACAATACCATAAAAGGTGATAATGAATTAATGAAGACGCGCTGTAAAATCGAATACTAGATATACTGTATATTATATACTTTATAACGTTTAAAACATTTCCAAATTGTTAGATATTTGTCAATTACAACGTGTCAGCAATTTTTCACGCCTCTTAATTGACAATTACTAATTAACTAATAATAAACGACCTTTAAATAGTTAATGAATAACAATACATTTTAATACACTGTATACACTATACACTGCACTTATTGCGCGCATACAATATACGTGAGCAATACATCATTAGTCACTGATAGATGATTAATAATTCTTAATTAATAATTAGATAATACCCAGACAACATATAATGTCCAAAAATCGTCTTTAAGACGTTTAATAGCACAGAAGTTGTCTTTTAGGCATGATAAAAATGACTTCTGGGTAACCGTTGTCTGGGTAATTGTTAATCCACAATTCATTATTAACTATTATCGGGTGGGTGCCCGTTTAAATTTATGCACAGGAAGTAACCTCAATGTGAACTTATACTTATTTCTATAGATTTGTTTTGATCTCATAATATGTACCTAATCAATTCTTTCATAAAACCGTTCCGACATACATATCTTGAATTTATACACGTTTATTTGAAAATACTGATAAAACACGAAGTGTGTAAATAAAACATAATGCGTTAAAAGAAACGTGTGTCGCTTAGTCTAAAGTGTGAAATTCACTTCTACACGCATTAGTTTAACATGAATCATGTGCGTCACATGTGGCGAGTCACAGTATTAATGCATATGCAGGTGTGTACAAAGGTTAATGCGGATTAATCGTTTTAGAGTCACACAGTTTTCGCGGACAATATGTTTTTCGTGTGTTCTTTCAAAATATCTACCACCAATTACACACTAAAAAACCGACCTAAAACATATTTAAAGCAATACATTTATTAAGAGTTATGCTACTTAAACGTATTAATTGAATATACTTCTAGACATATTCAAAATGAATTATTAAATAACACTCCTAGAAATGGAGAAACAGTAACTAAATAAAAATCAGACGTAATACTTATATTTGCCGTGATGTTAATATCACATACGTACCGTAATGCATATACGGAATCTGTAAGGCGTAAGGTTTAACCGAGTCTTTTAACATGTGTTATACGTGAGATGTACCAATAAGGAACTTCTATCTCTTAGGTAATTGAAAGGATATTTTACACAGACATTGCATATAGTTGTAAAGTAACAATTCCTCGCACTTCTGAAAGTCAGTTTTTTGGATCTTCATTTCATTATTACCTATTTTGTAATTTTAGGAAGTAGCATAATGTTACAAACCATAAAGTTACCTATAATAGATTAACAATGATCCTACAGCTTATAGTTTTGCATCAACGGATATTCGAAGATCCTCCGAAGAGGATAAACGTCAACATTAGAAGCGCGCATATTTGCACCTATTCTCACATGCTTGTGAATTTACGTGTATATAAGGCTTGTAGTAAATACTTGTTCCGGTAGTACTGATGTACGTACCATGGCAGAGATCTAGCAGGGGCTTTGAGAGCACGATGATTAAGGGGGGCAAGAGGAAAGGAGAAATTAGAGATATAGAGGGAAGACGGTTCATTCGGATATTCTCGGAGATATTCGGAAATGATCGTGAACAAGAAGGCGGGGCCTAGGCGGGGTCGATACGGGCAGTTTTCTTTGGTTCTGTGGAGTGTGTCGCGCTAATAGATAATGTCAGTGTCCGTTAGTACGGACAACAGTGCAGTGGGAAGAAAGTATTGAAAGATTCAAGAAAGTGGCGCGAGTACTAGTAATAATAATTACCATGAGGATGATCGAAGTAAGATAGTTTATACCAAAAGGTAGAAGAGGAGTGTTCTTATCACTGGACGTGATGCTACGCCGTTGCGTGAAATCAAATCAGATCCGTAAAGACGTATCGCGAGGTAGCTCTAAACGGCGTTGTCGTATTGCCGACGTACCGCGCGAAAGCCCTGTTGCCACATTTCTCACATAAGCTGTACGGGTAAGTTCTTCACCGCAATGTTATTCCTTACGCACTCTGTTATTTCTGCATGACATATGTACTCGTATAACATGACCAATAAAGTCGCTGTGTGAAGATAGGGCAGATATAAAATATACGTCAACACTCAGCAAAATAACTTGAGCTTAAAACGGTCAGCTGACCTGGCCGTGAGCAACCAATCCAATTGCAACTCGCGATCAAGGCCAGAGCAAATAGAACGTATACATTCGGCTGTCGGTAGAAGACTCAATCTCTAATGGTGGCTTTAATTGACCAAGCTTACTGTGTCTTCTCCCCACTCTTGTTTTCTGCCCACTTTTCTTCTCCTATTTTCTCATTTATGTGCCGATGTATCGCGAACGGTTATCTATCCCACCATATTTACCAATTCATAAGATCATTTGTGCGAACATATGCTTGTACCTTCGCATTAACTTTCTTTAAGATCCTTTTCGTTGACAATTACAGTATAAGAAATAATTGCAAACTATGACCATTATTTTGTTCTATTTCCAATTATATGTTAGTCAGGAACATTTATTTATCCGTAATGAAATACTATAAAGTTACAGTTCAAATGGATGCTGCTACGTATTACCCAATGAACGTCCGTAGACATGTTCGAACAAATCAAATAAGTATGTATCATAATATCCGAGTAGTTACTTTAGAGCAATGTTGCTCATCGCTAGTCGAGCCTGTGCGAAAGTCCATATCCGAAAAATAAAATGGTTTGATTTTGGCAGTACATTTAGGCTTTCCTCGAAAATTAATAGTGAACTGCAATTCCGCTGACAAACGATATACAGTCATACGACTATGCTTTTAATACAACCGCAGCTACTCGTACGACTAACAATAAGAGTATTCGACTAAATATGACTGCTAACGACCATTTGGTTGTTCGTAGTCGCATCCAATCAAAATGTGGCTTAAAATAAACATGCATCACTTAAATTGAAATAATAACCGATCTGTACTTAGCAGATACTTAACAAAATATCTTCTTTAAGTGATAGAACTTAAATGCAGACGTATATAATTATGTTTGACTGTGCTGAATTTGACCAAAAGGGTTTTTCTGTCTTATAATTCTACGCTCATGTTCTGTGCACTACAGGTGCCGAATGATGTCGATCTAGAGTATATATTGTATCAGCAAAAAATGGAGGCTAATGAAAGGGACAAGCCATTGGTAAAGGATTTGAACGAGCATATCGTCTGCCCGCTCTGTCGAGGATATCTTATAGATGCCACCACACTCGTCGAATGCCTTCATTCATGTCGGTATACTAAATTTATATGTCGGCTGCTTTTCAAATGATTTAACCTACAGAATATAACATGTCATATATAACTGTTTATTAATATTGAATGTCTCGTATTTCTTCAGTTAAATTGGATTCTTTCATTCTTATTCAATAAACTTGGATTTCGTATCTATGATATCAATTGAAAATATTATTATGATGCAAATCTTGTTATTCAAGAATTCACTAAATTTTGATATATTAAACTTCCTTCATCGTGCCATGAGAAAAGCATGCTAGACATTAATATTTTTTTAAATTTATCATTTTTACATTAAAAGTAATAGATATTTCGTATGGATGTATGCTATCGTCGCTCAAGATGTTAATAATATTAAATCAAAAGAACTCAACAGGAGTACCTTAGTCGCTCTTTGTGGTACCATTATATGTAAAATACTTACAGTACTCTGCGACTTTGTTTCACTTGGAGATACATATTTCACATTGTAATGTATAATTGAGAAAAATTGCATCAATTGTATGAACAATTTAAAAAAAAAAGTTATTAGATGGCTACTACTGATCTACTGCAGTTATAAGGATCATGATGTATATTGAATGTAATTTTTCTCTAATATTTTTTAAATGAATTTCTCCTCAATACCTATAATCATAAATAAATATTATCATGCGATTCAATATTTTGTAAAAAATACCAAAAACTATAGTTTGCAGAGGCTGTATTGTGAGGAGGTTAAGCAGTGGTGCTCGAGCTTGTCCAGTATGCGGCGCAGCAACATTGCCGCCTCTCTTACCGGATTTGGGATTACAGCGGTTAGTCTACCTACTGGTGCCAGGTCTTTTCCGGTCAGAATTAGAACGTAGACGTCACTTTCGCCTGGTGAACCCTCAATGTCCACCCCTAATACCACCTTTGGGAGCTTTGGAGCTTACTATGGACGATATGGTCAGTTTAAGCTTGCGAGAAATCTATAAAATCAAAGAACACAACAATTCGTCAGAACGTGAAGAAATTCAGGTTAGATTTAACAACTTTTTTGTTATACAAATCGAAATGTTAAGGTTATTTACAAAATGTGGCTCAAAGCAGATTTTAAATCATATATCCAAAGCAGAAATCTTTTAACCCTTTGCGTTCCGATTCAATTTGAACAAATTTTCCATATTGATCCGATTTAATTATTTTCTGCATGTCCTAATACATCGCGTTCAAAAATACATCAACCGAGTTTATCTAAAAATTAATGTTTCTATAAAATAAGTGATCATTAACCATGGAATATATAGATTATAGACAATTCATATAAATTTTATATACAGACTATACATATTCAATTCTATATACGATTTTGTATGTAAATTGTATACAATCCGTATACATTTTTCTATTTGGAATTAGTAAATATAATTAAGGAATTATTTACTATTAACCTTTAGAGGAGCGGTGCTAAAAACATTGCAACTCTCCGGAGCATGTAGGTTACTTATATACAGTGAGTAACTTTAATATTCGGACACTATGAGATTTTTACTATATTACGTTATAACTTTATTTCTAACAAAAAAAAATGATTAAGGATTATGATGACGTATACGCTTAATAAACAATAGCGTAAATTTTATTTACATAACTTGCAACAGTTGTTGAATAATACGGTTTAAATAAATCAGTGTCCCATTTCCACGTTACTTTAATATTCAGACACTTTCAGAAACTACATATGCACATACTTATTTTTCGGCTGGTTTTTGTTACAATACTTGTTTTAATATTTTGTTGGGTAGCCATCCTGCTTTATCACTTCTTGCAAACGCTGCTGCATATTATTAATAATTTTTTTTAAATATTCAGTACTCAAACTGTTCCATTCTTCTTTTAAACGATTTTTTAACATTTCTCTGGAAGATATTGGTGTTTTTCGAATTCGGCGCTCTAGTTCATCCCACACATTTTCAATGGGGTTAAGGTCAGGTGATTAAGGTGGTGGTCGCAAAACTTTTGGGCAATTGTGCACCAAATATTCCTGCACAATGCGTGCCTTATTTTTTCGGGCCATTATTATATCCTGGTAGAACTTGAACGTATTTAAAATCTCCATTTTTGTAGCACTTCTGTGTAAATTTTTTTTCAATATGGTCATGTACAAATTTTTGTCTATAATATTTTCGATGAAAACTAATTCGCCCCGTCCGAAAGTCGAAATACAGCCCCAGACCATTACACTGCCACCTCCGTGCTTTACGCTCGGCCGAAGATTTTTAGATTTAAACTCTTCTTTTTTTTTCCGCCACACCATCCTTCGTCCATCTGACCCAAAAATATTAAATTTACTTTCGTCAGAAATGATGACATCATTCCACCATATTTCATCCTTCAAAATAAATTCTTTGGCATAATTCAGTCTCTTCTTTCGATTCTTTTCACTTACGTACGGTTTCTTTCTCGCCACTCTTCCATTGTAGCCGCTATTTTTTAAGGCTCTACGGATCGTTTGAGGATGCACGTTTTTTCCAGTCTCGTTTAACAGCTCTGATGCTAATTTTGGCGCACTGAGCGTAGGGTCCTTCTTTATTTTTCTTAGCAATTTTCTCTCATCGCGAACGTCTAGTTTCTTCGGTTGGCCTTTTTGGGGTATAAAATCTATACGGTCCTCGCATTTGAACCGCTTGACTATATCTCTCACTGTACTCTTGCTTATGTTTAGCAGAGCAGCAATTTCTCTGTACGATTTTTCTTTGGCATTATGATATATTACAAATTGCCGTATATCAAGACTCGTGTTCGCTTTGTGAGGCATTGTACAAGTGTATTGCATGATGATCGACAAATAACTAATAAAATAAGACTTAAACTAGAACGCTTGACTAGATTTGTAAGTAAACATTGTCCTCTAATTTGGCGTAACTCGGCTTGAACATTGGAAAAAGCGCTACATTGTAAAGTGTCCGAATATTAATGTAACGTGAAAATCGGACAATGTTTTATTTAAACCGTATTATTGAAAAACTATTGTAAGTTATGTAAACAAAATTTATGCTATTGTTTATTAAGCGTATACGTCATCATAATCCTTAATCATTTTTTTTGGTTAGAAATTAAGTTATAACGTAATATAGTAAAAATCTCATAGTGTCCGAATATTAAAGTTACTCGCTGTACATGAATTTCCAGTAAAAAAGGTCACTTTTTTCATGAAAAATTGTTGTCGAAAAAAAATTAGATTAATTCCTTGCGGTTTTGGAGAATACTATACCTATCTGCATTATGGTATGACAAAATTGGAATTCAATTGCGACGATATTCATTTAAAAGGCTCGAAATGTATATACATACATATGGAACATTTGTCACATTCATTTATAATGATAATAAATACTTAAAAAAGTTTGTTCACAATTTCACGTAAAATTCAGTACATGCTGTAACCTCAAGACATCAAAGCAGCTTTGAAAACTTCGCCAGTTATGTAGGAATTTCCCATGTGAAAAGGTTATATGTAAGTTATATATGAATTATATTATTATATATGTATATTTATGGACATACATGAGTTATAATTTAAATTATTATTATAATTTTTTTATTTTTTTGTTGTTAATTTTTACAGAATTTTTCTATTACATTCTAATACTTTGAGATACGAGTGGGAGAAAGAGAACATTATAGGCAGGCGGTGATGTTTGTCGCACGAGCTGCACAGTAACACAGCGTGCTCGTGGTTACAAGTGCGGCGAGGGTGACAAACTTCACACCTGCTTATAATGTTCGTTTTACTGCATTAGTGTCGCAAAATATTTTATGTAACTCATGCATGAAAAACGCTACTTTTCCTGCCTCCAAAGTGTGGTGAAAGTAGCGCTTTATAACTAAGAATACGATAAAAATGCTGCGCATGCGCAAATCGGCCCAATTTTACATTATCACACTAGTGCTTTCTTGTCGCACTAGTGCGATAAAGTAAACTTTGTTCTCGCGCGCTGTCATGAAATGCATTCACTTTGGAGGCCTTCCTTGCTCTTCTTGTGGTTGCCTCCTCCAATGAGGAGATGTTCCAGTCACTTTGGAGGCACGAAAAGTAGCACTTTTCATTCATTCGTTACAGAAAATATTATGCGATACTAGTGCAATAAACTTCGCTTTCTCGCACTCTTATCGCAAAGTACTGTTTTCACACGGAATTTGTTATTTTTTACAAAAATGAAGGTTACAAACACAGACTGTTACGAACGCGTGAGGATTTGACGAGAATCAAGATCAAGTTGTAGGAGAAGAATTAGTTTAAATTGTATGAAATTTTATTAATTTTGGTGCAAATTTGAAACATAGAATTCTTCTTAACAGATTAAAATGGGCAGTAAAAAATATTTCATATTGTTTTTTGTTGAATCACTTGGCCACTGTATCTATGCATTCACTAGCATCCATTCGTCGGAAAAACGTTCAATCGTAATGCATAATAAAATAACTATGTGTTCAATAAACGTATTCCTGACGATAAATATTTATATTTTATTTATAGATTATATATGCTCATTTTTATATTTAAATCATATGTGAACTATACATATAAATTTTGACGTGATTCTTCCGAATCGCGCCACAAACATTAATAAACGTTTCCTTTTCGCTCAACCTAGAAAGAGAGAGAGAGAGAGAGAGAGAGAGAGAGAGAGAGAGAGAGAGAGAGAGAGAGAGAGAGCGAGCTGGTTCGGTTGCCTTGAGGGCTGACTCTGTTGAGCTTTACGCTTTAATTTTCTATTTTTCTGGTGAGATCTTTCGCTTTCCTTAATATTTTCTGATTTTTGGATGTTGAAGATTATAGACACATGCGGACAGTAAACACGGACATGCTAAACGGACGGTTTAGCCGGTGACGAATTTTCTTTGTCGTTAACGGGCAAATGTCTTTCCGCCTAGTATAGTATACAGGACGATAGTGCCGTTAGTTTTTATAGGTTTGAGCTTCCGATTTTGCGCTTTTCTTGTATAATTTGGTGTTTGCTATTCTGTTATATTTAACGAACTTTCTGGAATCTTCGCCTAGTGTACACGTGGGAATCTGCCTGCTAGAGTGTTTGACCCCGGATTAACCGACTTGGTTGTGCTACAGCCAGATTCTCGCGCTGCCGATTATATTGTGTGCCCATTATTATAAGATATCGATTACCGTAAAATTGTTCTTCTTCTTCTGAAAAATTATTGTGAGACGTCCAAACCCTAAATTTGGCTAAAATTAGTGGCGAGCTCACGCCGTCTTTATTTTGCATAATCTTATGTTCCTCTTTCGAAGGGAAATACGTTAAACCGAATTCTTTTCTTTCTATGAGCTAATCTTTTGTGGCTTTTGCTGAAGTGTAATTCCGAATTTAATATTTCTATTTTTGGATGCGATATCTTCCGGTCTGATTTCTGTGATTTCTCGCTGGTGTGCCGTATCTGATTATCGTTGCCGAACCTTATTGTAATTCCATCGTTATATTCTCTTGGGATCTTTTGTGAATTTTACGTGTCGCACGCACGCGTCCTTCCGACGTCGCGCGCTAGCCGCCCGCCGAGGCGACCTTGCTTGTTGACGTTCCTCGACGTCGCGCCTTCGGCCGACTTCGAAATTGTCCTACCCGTTCCGAGAACGTCTTTCCGCTGCAACGATAATGAAGTACTCGTTATAATATTCTATCTTTTTCTGACTGTGATCTATTTTTTCTGTGCCATATCCTGTATTAATTTATTGTGCTATTTCTATTTATTGTGTTACTTTTCGTGTTCGTGATTTTCGAACTGGTGTTTGCGAACCCGCTTGTATTATCTTTTGTCGGGTTCCTTCTTAGTACAATTTCTTTTGCGTGACTCTTTCGTATTACTATTGTCGACCGCGGTTATAATTTCGCACGTGCGAGAATTGGAACCGCGCAGATCGTTCCGCTGCCGTTCCTCTGCCGTTCCTTGCGTTCCGATTTCGTCCGTGTCGCTGTTTGGTTATTTTAGTTAAAAATAAATTTGTTAGTCTATTCCGAGTAATTCGATTATTCCGACCCTATTATTTTTCGTGAATACCGTTTTCTAGAAGTATAGAGCCCGCGTGCTCGTGTCTTACTCGCGTGCGCGCTCACGCGTAGCGCCTTCGCTGCCGAGATTTTCGGATAAGGATACTGCGTCCATAATGTCCGAAATTATATTTGGTGATTCTTATTTCTTTTGCATTGTATAGCTTCCGATTTTAGATACCGATCATCGTGAATTAACTTTAAGACTTTTGTAAAACTATGCTTGGCTTTCGCTCGCACCCTCCCTAATGCCTGAGTTAATGATTGGGTAATTGTGCTATTGCGTTTATTAACTATTTGGAATTTTGTTTTGCTTAATACAGCTCTGGTGCGTTATTCTAACTAATTTCTAACTAATTAATTTGGATTATTTTCGTATAGTTTTTTGTATCACTTTCCTCTAAGTCTTTGGCTGAGTTCGTTTCTTCTGTACCTCTTGAACGCCGCGACGCTTCCGACGAGCTAGCCTCCGAAGCGGCGTACCGCGGGACGTATAGTGGTCTAATTTAGTAATATCTTTTGAGTTCCGGTTAACCTTTAGGTTTAGTTACGTTCTCTATTATTTTTCTTGACCGTGGTGCTCCTATCTGTTTGAGTGGCCGTGGTGCCTTTAGGTTAGTTAAGTGAATATTTTTTCTTGGCCGTGGTGCCCCTATCTGATTTTGCGTGGCCGTGGTGCCCTTAGATTTAGTTCGCCTGGTGGCACATGTAGGTTTAGTTCGCCTGGTGGCTGATTTAGGTTTAGTTTGCCTGGTGGCAATTGGTTACCCCGGTTCAATTATCTCTCGCGATCTGTATTGTTTCGATAACGAGCCTAGAGCTCGTGATGCTCCTTACAGGGTACCTGGCGCCCAACAACCTTTTCGAGTTTGCCGAGACCACTCACGCTCGCGATTTCCGTTGTGTAAAGTTCAGTTTTGTCGACGACTGAGAATATCGTCGCAGTATATACGCGATCGCATATAATTTATATATAATTCGTATACAGGGTTATTCACGGCAAACACACCAGTGGAAATTGGACGCGATTGAACAATTCCGTTAGTGGAGGCATTTCCTTGCTCAATCAATAAAAGATTGTTATGCTTATGTTGTTAATAATTTTATGGGATTAACTTTAAATTTTTTATGGTATCACACTACTTTAACTGATAAAATCACCTATTTGTGGGCAACTTCTGCTGGTACGTTAACTGTACATAACTCTGCATACATTTTTCACATGGGTTTTCAAACATAACCAAGGCAACTTTACAATATGCATGGTAAAAACTATTAAGCAGTCTGTCATTCTCCTTGTGAAAATTAGCTAATAATCTTCAGATATATCCAATTGGATGCCGTCCTGTTTAGTAAAAATTCTCCGCACGTACGGTAATATTTGTAACTGTTGACTTCCCTTTTTTTCATTAAGCTCATTAACCCTTTAAAGCACGGTATAGATCAGAAAATACACCTCTTTGAATTCAGAAAAAAAGCATTTATTACAATTCAATATGGTTCAAACTTCTTCAAACTTCATATTTAGGGCTATTTTGAATCGATGAATCCAAATCTGAAAAATAAATTTTGAAATCCAAAATGGCCCAAAATCCTCTGAGTAACAAATTTCAAGTGTGTATGTAAGGAGAAAACATGTATGCATTGTAAAAATTTACGCATATTTTACATTTTGACTATTCATTTATACTCTTTCCATGAAAAAAAAAAAGAAGAATTGAATTCCACTTTTTTTAGTGTTTCGAATTTTGCTAAATGTTCTGGTAGAATTTAACGTAATACATTTAATATTTTATTTTAAATGATATTAAAAAATCGGAGGAAAACAAAATGTTTTGAGGTATCATGATGTCTTATCATTGCCCTAACTTTTAGGACAATTTTTTAGAATAAATTTTCTCTGATGTGTCATTTATTATTCTAAATAAAGTTTTTATTTCACTGCTATATTTTTATTATCATAATGAATAATATATAAATGTATCTGCATCAGGATGCAAATTATGACGAAGACAAGGATGAGCATGAGAATGATGGGACTAGATACTTGAAGTGCCCAGCTGGTGTTACAGTAAGGCATCTTGTGCGTCTTCTAATGTTGAAAAGAGGATGGAAAGAAGACGAGAAACTTTTACGAGTAAAAAGGATTGAGATGCTATACAGAAATTTGGTTACGGGAAAGCAGCAGCATATTGAAACCTTAAAAGTCTTGGAACTATCCTGGACCTTGCTCGATCTAGCGTGTATTTTTAAATGGAAACGGGTAAGTCCATTTATCTAGCACTATACAATTTATTAATATAATTTAGTTCATATTTTTTAATACACCGTATTCACACATCACTTACTAAGTCACTTGAAACTAATAATGAACGCATTTGGATGCGTAAAAGTATTCGAAATGTGTTTGGTGTGTAAATTGATATGGAATAATATAGAATGTTTTTAATATAAAATATGGTTGTGAAGGTATACTTATAAAAGATATAAATGCAGTGAGTAATTTATTAATTATATTTACATTTTGCTAAATCATATTTTAAATATTATATTGACTGACAGTAGGACATACGAAATAATATATACAGGGTGTCCCACTTAACTCTGCCACCCGAGTTTATCAATGAATCAAGAGAATAATTTCTTTTCCTTCAAAATAATAAATGCATTGAGTTTAGTAGAGAATATTTGAAGCACACATTAAAATAAATGATGTGAAAAATGTACTTATTTTGTCACTATAACTCATTCCCCTTGAAATTCCACATTGCTCATTCACTCACGCATTTTTTAGCTTAAGGTCGTTTCGAGATCATCTTATTGTATATATGGTTGAGTAGGTTTCGATGGCACCTTCCTAATGGTAAGTAAAAAATTTTCCCCTAAAAGAAATGTTGGTAGTATCAAAATGTCGGAAACTATGATCTTCATATGACTTTCTTCCTACACATTTTTTTATCATTACAAATGAATAACTAAATTCGGGTTCCAGAGTGAAATAGGACGCCTTGCGCATGTACCAGATGGTTAAAGATTAGCGGAACATATCTCATTATGTCATTGGTTTATTCTAAAGGTGTATTATTGAAATTTGTTATTAACCCTTTGAAGCATATATGTATTTGTCTAATGATTGGATTTTTATGAATTTTGTATACACGGGTTTACGGGGTCGCTGATTACGAATTTGTTATCAGATTTTCAAAATTCGAAATGACGAATTCAAGATGTCGCCTGCCGAATGAAAAACCGAGATATTATTGGTGAAAATATAGTTTGAATGGTTTTTGGGCTCACTGATTAGGATTACGGATGTAAAATTGAAATTTGATCATTTGAAAATTCACTCATTCTTGGCACTATCCAAAAATAACGATCAGGACGTGCCGAGTTCTAACTCCACTTTTTTTTTGTGAATTTGGTATATTTTTCGTGATGTGATAAGAATCGAATGTATACGACGGATTCGTAATCAGCGATCCGGAGAATCTCCAAATACATCGATTTACATCGTTTTTCGATTTTAAGTCCACCATATTGGATCCGCAATTTTGAATTCCTGAATTTTTAGTTCAGATTCCTAATCAGCGACCTGAAAAACCTCTAAGCACTAAGTCCCGAGGAAATATTCATAATCGCGTCGTAGAAAACACATTTTTTGGGGGAAAAAACTGATTTCTACAATTTATTTATTTATAATTTTATGTTAATCAACAATAAAAACTGGTTGCAACAATAAAAAAACTTGTATTCTTTATAGTCAAAAAATAATTTTCAAAAGCTAAAAACGATGGGGAAAAGCTGAGTCGAAAATCGACCCATCATGCTTCAAAGGGTTAAATAAAATATTACTCAACGGTTAAAAATCAATACAGCCTATCCTACGTTTGGTTATATCAAATATTACGAATCGTATTAACATTCGAATCATTTAGTTATACATAACATATAATTACTATATCGTTGTTATATATAATTGTTCATAGGCTATAAGATGTAACAGAATTATAACACATGTACAGATTTTGTATAAGATGTTACTTCTTGTTCAGGAAACACCGATGCGTTTATTCTACCGTGTGATCTGTAAAGAGGATTCGGAAAACCCGGCCCTTATGTCAGATTGTTTGGAAAACAATACAGACTGCAATATTGAAATCCAGCGACCTCCAACACCACCACCAAGCCCTAAGCCTAACAAAGTCAGCATAACCTTTGCTATCACTTCTTCCTCTCCACCATATACATCAGCCTCTTCGCCCCTCAACTCATCTTCATCCTCTGCTATCTCTACGCCAGTCTTCTCTTGCACTGCATCTTCAACATCTTCCTCCTCGTCTTCTGAAGTCACTGAGGCCACTATCCTGACCACATCATCCAGTCCAGTTACGACGATCTGCATCGCCGCCGTTTCCACTTCTGCCATCACTGGCGTAATCAACACTGTAACTAATACAGCTGCTGCAGTTGCTTCTGCAAGTGGCGATATTTCAAATGCTGTCACTGTCACTGGGACCACCATAACTACTAGTGCGATTTCCTCAATCTGCCCTTGTCTTTCCACTTCCACATCCGATACTGACACCGCCACTGCTACCGCTACCGATACTGATACCGACACTACTACTACTATAATTATCGGCAGTGGCCCTAACGGTATTGTGGCAGTAGGGTCAAAAACCAGAACCCAACAAGAATACATTCATAATGCAGAAAGCTTAGCATCGAGCATTCGCGAGGAACCATTCCCAAAAAAACCTAGATGCGAAGTGACACCCGTTTTACGAACTCCTGGACCGAATTCTTCATCGATTAAAGTAAAATCCCGAGGAACAAAAGTAGACCGATTAGAACATCACAAACGACGAAAACGGCGTAATAAGCGTGTTATCGCTGAAATTACAACGACGCCACGAGAGGATTTACTTAAATTAAAAGTCCGCCTAACACCCTGTCCACCTCGAATTACCTCAGAAAATTCGACAACTACGAAAGAAAAGCTTCTGCAGATGCGGGCGGTACGTCGAGAAAAGACGAAAAGCAAAAATTCCATCGAAGAGAATATCGTCGATAGTGGGGAACAGGAAGAAACCATAGAACAAATTATTAATAGTATACCCGACGAAGTGGTGAGAGTTGCGCAAACGTTAGATGAACAATCACAGTCTGTTGATATTCAACGTCCATGTGTTAAGAACGAGGACTTAAATAGTCAGAGAAACGTCGAAACAAAAGATGAGGAGGTTCTTCGACGACTAGGATTAGTTGCGGTTGCAGAAATGACAGGAACATCTAAAACTTATACTGATTCTGGATTTTCAATAAAGTGTAAAGGCACCAATCAAAGTCAAGACTACCAACGAGAGGCACTCGAGAGACAATTAAGAGAAAGTAAGGCGAATAGAGTTCGAAGCTTATTGGCCGAGAAACAAATGCGAGATGCTCTAAAAAGCATTATGTCAAAAAGTAAAGAGAAAAGTACGAGAAAAGGTCCACCGCCGTTGGCTCCCTTGACACTAAAAGCTTTTGACGCAAAAACCGAACGGCCTCTCGATCTAAGTAGTGGTGCTAACAGTAGTGCACTTGATCTATCTCCAGGTCCTGGGGTAAATATGCACGGAAAAATGTTAAGATTTTCTCCTGCAAAACCAGAAGAAGGCAAGACGTCAGATTCGAATCTAAGGACACTATCGGACGCTGCAGTATCACTCCTAGGTACTAGGACTTCCGGTAAGGTTGCACTGAGAATTCCCCAACCACCGAGAACTTCCAACTTCGGTATAAAAATCAAACCAAATTTAGGACTTAGACAAATTCCAAATCCTCAAGCTTTTGTTGCTTCTCAGTACAGGAATCAAAGGACATCAGCACTTTTCGGAAACTCGCAGTTACCGTCATAATATATTTTTTTTTTGTATAATTAACAATTCTATAATTTCCCAAAGTACAATTAAATCGGAATTAATCGGATGAACTCGGATCAATTAAAATTTTCAATTTCATTTACATTAAGAGTACTATTGAAAACAAGCTTTAGGAAAATATGTTTCACTTTAGTGATTCTGTTGGACTTTAACACTAGATTGCCCAAAGAAGTTATTTTGACTGCTTTTTAATTTCAATTAGAAAAAAAATTATGTATATAATGACACAATTTCTTAGAACTTTGTGACTTTTTCTACAACATATAAATGCGTTTATTAATAATTGTAGTTACCTCCCCCCTCCTTCATTTCCGGTATATATTGTGACGTATTTTTACGCGATCGACCTCACCGGAAAATGCAAGACCGACCGGCGCACAACTTACGCGATTCCTACGCGTTCCAGGTAACCCAGGGGCTAACAAATTTCACTCTCGAAATACCTAAGGTATTGTTGGGCGCCAGGTTCCAAAACGGGAACCACGTATCAGTCTCTACGGTTCCTCTTCGCGTGCCTATGTTGGCTAACTCAGCTATGCGGAGGCGGCGGAATTCGGAACAATAGGTCGGATGGGTCAGACGATCACGCGACACACAAAATCATTCGGACACTTCGATCTCAAAGAAATGGTTCGGTTTATTAAAGAAAATCGGCGGCGCGAAGCGCGACGATCTCTTACAATACCGAAGTAATTATTTACAAAAGAAATAGTAATTAATATAGATCGAAAAGACAAAACCAAAGTACAATCAAAAGATAGTAACGGGTACTTCGGGGTGCACCAGGCGTCCCTGGATTCCCAACTCGCGGAAATATAATTATGCGCAAACTGACGATGGGCGCTATGCCATAGGGGTCCGGTAGTGGTGCTCAGTCGGGTGGCGCTGTGTACGCTTCTTCCAGTCGTCGTGGTTGAGTACCAGCTGAGTAGAGCGCGTTGCTGCCGCGTGACGTCAAGCTGTTCCGCGTTGCGCGCGCCACCGGGGCCAGTAGAGCTGCTGTCTGCAGATAGCGCGAGTGTCGACCCTCGCGTGTCGCAGCTCCCTTCCTCCTGGGACTTCAGCTGGCTCTCCCTCTCTCGTTCTCCGCGTCTTCACGGGCACGGCGAACGAGCACCTATTCGGACTCCGGCAGAGTACACGCAAAACAAAAGAAAAATAATAAAATAATCTATCGAAAGTTCAACTTAGGCCCTTGCGGTCGGTGGATCCTGCCTGGACTTTGCTATGGCCTTTCGGCCCGTATCGCGTTTCGGCGTGATTTTCCGCCGAGGACAAGACGGATGAAATCCACCACGTCACACAAACAAAAATTCTAAACCGTGAACCCTGCCGGTCGACGGACCTTCGTGCTTTGGTCTAATTCGAGGGTGAGGGATCGTCCCTCCGCGTGTCGGTTACACAAGATCTAATGACAATTCTAACAGTGAACTCTGCCGGTCGACGGACCTTCGTGCCTTGGTCTAATTCGAGGGTGAGGGATCTTCCCTCCGCGTGTCCGTTACACACGCGGTCAAAACTTACGAAAACAAACAAAATCCGGTACCAAGATTTGCACGAAGTTACGTCGCTCACAAAAGTCAGATATCCTCGCTTACCGCGTTGTTCCCTGGTCGCGTAATCCCAGAAAACTCAATCGACAGCCCAACGGCACTTTGTGCGCTCGCGTACTCACAATTCAACTCCAATAAAACAAAACGTCTAACGTCTTCGCGTGTCCAAGCAGGAATCTCGATCTTCACGCGCTTTGTCTTCGCGTGAAGGATAGAGTACATGATAAATTGTCGATTTGGGCGTATACTTGATAAGTTGCAGTTGCTCAATAAGCTAAAGTAGTACTTGTTATTTGAATCTTTATGCAGTGATACTTGTTCTAACAAGTTGTTTATTTTATTTCTTTTGCGCCCTAAATTCATGAAAGAAATGTCGAATAGAAGTATATAACTGTAAATAATATAAAAAATATTAAAAATTAATTTTAAACAAATTTCTTTACATATTAGTTATTCTTTCACAATGCAGTCATTTTGACTGCTTTGGGCAATATAGGTATATACTAAGTTTCGGTCTTTCTAGTGTTAATCGGAATCGCCCATTTTCAAGAAAAAGAATTACATGTAAGAAAATATCTTTTAAAAGAATTACGGTTAGATTATTTTCTGAGGAAAATTGATTTTTTGCAACGCTGTGCGGAAAGTATACAGTTTGTGCACCAAAAAACAAGCACAAAATGGTCCATTCTTGATGAGTTCAGAGTGTTCAGGAATCATCAAGAATCAGCCATTTTGTGCTTCTTTTTGGTGCATATCCTGCGTACTTTCCGTACATTGTTGCAAAAAATAGTATATGATACGCGTGCGGCTTGGTGATTCCTACTCGTGTGACGTGTGCCACGATTCTGACTCGAGTCACACTCGTCAGGAATCACCAACTTTCCGCACTTGTATCATAATGTACTATTCTTATTCATATAGTCGGCGACTTCAACGTGGTTTGTTTTTCACAATTCGCACACAATGCAATCCTTAGCATATCAATTATTCTTTCTGAAAAATCTGTAAAAAAATATTAGTATGCGAACATATTCGCGAAACCAATCTGTTTATATCCATTGCAATTTTCTCATTATTAAATAATATTATTAATATAAATCCAAAAATCGGCTTCATAGGAACTAACTATCGGAAGGCTCGAATAAACTCAACCGTATAAGTTTTTTTCTGCGAGCCGACTTTCGAATGGAAACGTTCCTCGCTTCAATTATTGTTTGTGTGTCATAAAATCGACTATAGTTCCTCCATTTATCAGAGGGAATGAACCTAATTCGTCCATTTCGGAGTTCAAGATTTATACCTTCAAGATTTCTTGTTACTGTCTGCATAAATACAGAATGTATTGATTACTCACCTTTTCAAATGCAAATAGTGGCATGTGCAGAAAACAGACCTCAAAATTATTTTGATCATTTCAGCAGTATATGATGACTGTGTCTGAGTTGTGACGTCAGGAAGAAATATTATAGTTGTTCGTGTTTTACGCAAAGCTATTACTGAAACGCATATGTCGACACGCTTTGGAAGCGTAACAATTATTTAGACATCACATTCACAACAAACAGTAGTGAATCATCTTTTTTCAATTGTATGGTTCACGATATGCTAGTAGATTACCTAATTGGTAGCAACATTGCTAGATGCACAACTAAAAATTTCTTACAGCCATTGATCATGCCAAGGAAGTTTTCCTCGATTTGAAATGGTACTATCTATGCTCATAATTTGCTGATTCCAGCATAGAAATCAATAGTTAGCATAATTCAGTTATAAATCTATTTAAATAATCACCCGAGGATTCGTGAGCAATTTTGCGCGTCGTCGAGTGATCGACGATCTCAATTAGGCTGTCCAAAATATTGAAGGAATTTTCATTAGTTCCAAATGTTTTTGAAAATTCGGTTGAATTCAAGTCTGGAGTAAAATCACACCGTTTTAGTATGTATATATTTATTATATTTTCATCTGAGCTATGAGAATGATTGAGGCTAACGCATTCGGAGTCGAAATGTTTGGGCGGATTTTTTCTCTACAATAATTTAGAAATTCTTTTCAATTTCTCCTCAATAAAATCCACAATAAGATACAGTGAAATAGCTTTGAAAAGTAATTTTCTCTTTAAATGAGAAAAAAATGAGACTTATCATAAAAGTATTTCGATTTTGATTCAGCACAAAGTGAGGTCTATTGCATGTATACAGTTTTTTGATGATACATATATAATCAGTTAATTGAATAGTTCATTTTGCTGACCTAATGGGAAATGCGTTAAATGTTACATTTTTATTAGTATATTAAGTTCTGAAATTCAATTCATTTTACACTCATTTAATGTAATTAAAATATTATAATTGAGGATAAAAGTAGACTAAATCAATTAATAAAATATTATATTATGAGGAGAAAATTAATTAAAAAAATTAATTTGAGGAGAAAAACCGTCAAAATATTTCAATCCGGAAAAATAGAGCATTTGATGAATGAACAGATTAAAATTTCGGGGTAAAAAGGTTTGACTTAAGGCACAACCACTTGAACCATGCAGTCACATTTTATACAATTTTAACATGCAAATCAGAAATTCTGGACATTTGCAACTGTCGCTATTCCATCTGCATCTACAACTTGAATTTTTCTTAATTTCAACCGAAATACTTCAACGATTCACACAGAATTTTGGATATACGACATCCATGTATTCGAAATTTGCGCATATGGCTTTTTGAATCCAAAAATGCTGAAAATTTGTAAATATTATTATGTCATCTATATCTGGAATTGAATTTGTTGTATAAATTCAGTTCAGCGACTCGTCCGGAATTTCCGATAGAAATAATCAGCGATGCACACAGACGCATGCACATTTAAAATCTTATATGAGTCATACCATCATGCCTAAAAAGTAATTAAGTGAAAATGTACCAGCTTGTGATCTCATTCATTGTTGTTTTATAGCTTTGAAATAGTTGTCACCTGCCTCATATTATAGTTAATTTTTATTGCTGATAGTAATCAATTAGCATTTCATACCATACCTTGTTGGATAGTAAGAAGCAATTAAGATTCCAAATCTAATCCCATGTGGATAAAAAAGTAACTGACAATTTTTACCAACTGACTGAAATAATTCCATGCATCAGACTTTTTTCTTTAAAATGAAAGATGTTATGAAACTCGAATTTTAGATACATGCGATTCAAAAAGTATTTTTACAAATGATTTTTAAGATATGCTGAAACATGCTCCACTACGTATGTGTGCGTCTGCGTGTGTCTATGCGTGTATCGTGTATACATTGTTTCTGCAATGTTAAAAAATATTGCATTTACTCTGACAAACTCAAACTTCTTATTTTCAGCATGTTCGTAAAAAATCATTTGAATTTGTTATTGTTAGACTGTTTATTTATAATCATGAAATACATGTTTCATTCTTCTTTTGCTATTGTAAATTAATTTATGTTCAGAATTCTTTAAAAGAACTGCTGTAACCTGCTTATTTTAATGCAGAACGACATATTTGCATTCATTAGAATAAATATATAACGTTATCAAATATCATCATTAATATGAGTTATCTCCTTTTGAGAATCTTCATAAAAAATTAATAGCCAAATTTGAGGTAGTTATGTAAAAATATTACAACATACATCGTTTCTCCGTGCAATAACTGGTTGTAGTTAAATTTTATGTTATCTTATTTGAAGAAAATGTTTTATTTCATATTAGTTTTTCTCCCTAAAT